CCAGCCCTTCTCAGCTGCATGGTACGGGGAAAGAGCTATCAGGCTCAGGTACAGGGGCAGGGGATGCTCTAAGGCGCTGGTTCTCAAACATGGTTGTATATTGTAACCACCTGGGGAATTTTAACAAATACTTATGCCTGGATTCCACCTCCTGAAACTTCAATTTAGTTGATATGGACTGGACATCAGGATGTTTAAAGTGCCCCATAGGATTCAAATATGTAACAAAGTTTGAGAACCACTGGTTCTATAATATGAAACTGTCCCCAGATTTATTACCAGGTGGAGAAATCTTCTTCACCTACCTTTCCCCAAAGATCGTATTTCTTAAAACCTGAAGCACAGATGGGGCTGGCTCCCAGCTCCTTCCTTCTGGATTCCCATAATCCAAGGCTGGGTTCAGGTCATTATTAGAGTCTGATCATTATTATGGGATATTTTACTTACAATAAAATTATCAAATTAATTAAAACAAAGCTACCTTGTTTACACTTGAATTAGAGAGCTATAGCATAATGGAAAGGGCTGGATTTTAGAATCAGAAAGACTTGGATTCCAATCATAGCTCTGCCCCTGTTTTGTATGATCTTTGCCAGGTGGCAACTTCTTAGAGTCTCAGTCTCCCCAGCTATGAAATGGGGATAATGCCTGCCTCTCAGAGGTGATTTGACGATTGAATGAAATAACACACATAAAGGTCTGGTGCAGGGACTGGTGGTAAGAGAATCATCTGCCCCACGCCTCCCAGGGACCAGAGTGCTCACTCTTATGACAGGCAGACTGGATACCTTGGGCTTTCAGAGCTTCTCTCCCAGGCCCCTAGGTCCCCAGGAGAACTCTGGTGCCTGTGACTTCTTCATTTGGGAGGCAGAAGCCCCACTTCCTATAGGGATGGTTGTGTGTGGCCTTTGGGTCCTGGCTCTACATTGCTCAGAATTGATATTCCTGTGTATGAAATAAAAGCTTAAGGCTATTATTTGAATAATCCAAGTAGAGAAAGGGAAGTGTATATAAATATTTTATGTAATATGTGATTTAAATATGTATTAATAACTAAGTATTAAATATTAAGCATTAAATATCATAAGCAGATGTTTGGTTATTTTATATATATATCTGCAGCCATACGGGTTCATGTATCCCAGTTATCTCAAATAAAACTTTGGGGGCAGGGCGCCTGGGTGGCTCAGTCGTTAAGTGTCTGCCTTCAGCTCAGGTCATGATCTCAGGGTCCTGGGATCGAGCCCCATGTCGGGCTCCCAGCTCAGCGGAGAGCCTGCTTCTCTCTCTCCCTCTGCCTGCCGCTCTGCCTACTTGTACTCTCTATCTCTCTGTCAAATAAATAAAAAAATCTTTAAAAAAACCAAACAAACTTTGGGGGCACTTGGGTGGCTCAGTCAGTTGAGCATCTGACTCTTGATCTCAGCTCAGGTCTTAATCTCAGGGTCGAGAGTTCAAGCCCTGCATTGGGCTCCACACTGGGTGTGGAGCCTAATAAAAAATAAAAAATTTAAAAATTAAAAAAAATTTTGTTTTGGTATTCACGTTGAAGAATGGGGAACCCTCTTGAAACAAAAGCTCAAAGTTAACACAGCTTGTTGGGGGTTAGGGACCTTCTGAAGGAAGATAAGAATTTCTGGACAAAGATGCTGTGACCCGGGGCACCTGGGTGGTGCAGCTGGTTAAGCTTCCAACTCTTGGTTTCAGCTCAGGTTGTGATCTCAGGGTTGTGAGACTGAGCCCCATGTCAGGCTCGGTGCTGAGCACAGAGTCTGCTTGAGAGTCTCTCTCCTCCCTCTGCCCCTCCAGCTTATGTGTGCACCCCCCTCAACATAAATAAATCTTAAAAAAAAAAAAAAAAGATGTTGTGACCCAAAGAGAGCCCATGTCCTCTGTGTCCACTCTGGGCCCCACAGCCTCCCTGGGACCTGCTCGTATCACCGCCATGGTGCCCCAGCTCTGCTGTTTGCTGCAGCTGCCCCACTTCAGTGGGATGAGCTTTGAGATGTAGGCCTCTCCTAAGCCATAAGCCTGTCCCCTGACTTGCTCACAAAGGGGATAGGCAGGTCACTGTTTGGCTCTCTGCCCCATCCAGTCTTGCCCAGGGGAATATTTCTGATGCTTGGGTGCAGGAAGCAGAGGAAGAGGGTTGGATAAACCACAATTCCCTGCTATTCCTATTCCCTTCATTTTAAGGAGGTAGAAAGTAAGGTTCAGGGGGAAAGGGATCACTTACCTGAGGTTACACAGATAGTGCCAGCCCTGGGCCTGGAACCCACATCTCCCAGGACACAGCCTTTCCCAAGCACTGCACCTCTGCTCTGGATTGGACCTGATTCTTTATCATCCTGGCTGGCTTTTTTTCTCATCACCCTGAAAGCTTCCAGATGACTTCTTACTACTTTCAGTGGCTGTGAGTGCAAGGAATACGCACGGGATACCCAAACCCAAAAGAAATAAAATTGTCCAATCTGCTAAAAATCACGCAGTATCCTTTAGTGCCAATTGTGGATTATTTTTGTATGCAGACATATGAACAGATAGTTAAAATGCAATGCGATATTTGTCATACTAGAAGGCTGTTCAGGGTGCTGTGGGAACCCAGAAGAGGGAATAATTAACTCATCCTGAGGGAAATCAACCCTGCTTCTCTGAGGTAGAACATTCAAACAGGTTTGAAAGGATGAATAGGAGTTTATCTGAAAAGGAAGGGAGAGGGAACAGCGTTAGGCAGAGGTTTGATATTCAGAAGACAGCAGAGATAGTTGCCCTGGCAAGGACACAGGGTGTGTGGTAGGTGAAGTGGAAGATGAGACTAGAGAGAGGTAAGGCCAGCTTGGAAGGGTCCATGAGTACCAAGATGAGGACTTTGGCATTTAAGGCCAGGGGCAGTGGAGGATTTGCTATGAGGCCTTGTCTGATCTCTTCAGTTATTTCTTTTTTCATGATGCTAATGAGACTGATGTTTGGGCATCTGCTGCCAGGGGCTTAGAAGCCTTGTGGAAATCATTTTCAACAGATAGAGCAGCATTTCTGAATCGAGGGTAGATGAGTGGGGTCTCCCCGGGACGAGCCAAGGGGAAGGGAGGGACAGTCACCTGATTCCCCAGGGAAGAGCATTTTTCTTCACCTCTGGCCACTGTTCTTGACAGGCAGGAGACTATCTAGGAGATGGCTCTGTGAAGGCTGAGGAGAGTTTCTTCAGTGGGGAGGTTAAGGGAGGGGTAGGGGAGAAAGAGTATTGAATTATTACTTTGCATGATGTTGTGGATTTTGATTTTTGCAGGATCAGTTAGCTTTTGCTGCATTATGAGACACTCAAGAATTAGTAATTAACAAAAACTGTATTTTATTGATGATTCTATAGGTCAGCAATTTGGACTGGGACTCTCCAGGTGGTTCTTCAGGGCTTGGTTAGGCTTGGCTGGGCTTGGCTAACCTCGGCTGTGTTCACTCCTGTGTCTGGGTTCAGCTGGTGAGTCAGTTGGGGCTAACTGGTTTGTGAGTGAGCCCTTGAGACAACCAAGGCATTGGTCTGCCTGGTCTCTCATCTTACAGCAGATCTGACCTGGGGTTGTCCATGTGGACAATCTTAGAGTTCTGAGAGCAGAGCAGAATCCAAAGCCACTTGAGGTCTAGGCTTGGAACTTGTTCAGTCTCACTTCTGCGGTGCTCTGTTGGCCAGAGCAGGTCACGAAGGCCGCCTAGCTTCCCAGGGTGGAGGATAGACCCCACCTTTTAATGGCTAGGATTGGATGAGCATGGATGCAGGGGCAGAAGAACTTATGGCCATATTTTCGCTTGACCTCTCCGGCTCTGACTTTGATCACCTGGGAGAATTGATAATTGAGGTCCTGGCCTTGCCCTGAATGGGATATGAGAAATCTTTTGAATTCAGTCAACATTTGTGGAGGATCAGGTGCTTTCTCAAGGATTACAGAATTTAAACCTCGAGGCAACTCTTCTTTTCCCTTCCTATTTTACATCTGAAGAAACTGGAGAACAGAGGAGCTAAGTGAGATTAACTGACTTGCCCAACCAAGGTCACTCGTTGGTAAACCCCGTATTTAGACTTTGGTTGGTCTGACTGCAACTGCCATTGTATCATTTCGATGATATGGGGCCGAGAAGATTGTGGTGGTCGTGCTGCATTCGCTACCATAGCCACCGCTTTCCAGGTGGCCCTCATGCCTGGGTAGAGGCACCTGACCCTACTCAGGAGCCTCATTTCCTTGCACGCTGTGGGTTTCCTGCTCTTGAGGTGGCCCAGAGAGCACTCTCGTCTCCATGATGCTTATATAGTCCCGGTACCCCCTATGCTGAGGAAAGTGTTGGAGACAGTTACATTTCTCTAGGGAAAGGGGGTAGGACAAGATGTTCATGTTCACAGGTGAGAGATACACATGTGCAGTGCATGCAACATGGCTGGATGGAGAAGGCCCAGCGAAAACTCTTTGAGCCCCATGGGCAGACTGATTGGTATTGGCGGTAGTAAGAGAAAAATACCTCCTAGATGAGCAGGCAGGGAGGCCTTGCTTTCTCTGGGGAGAGCTTGCTCGAAGCTCTAGCTGTGAGATCTTTAAAGTTGTTCTGCTGTGTGGGAACCTTAGTGGCTAGATCTATGCCCTGGGCTAAACCGAAACCTTGGAACTTAGGCAGTAACAGGAGCTGGGCTCTCAGAGCTGGGGAATGAGGAGTGGGAGCAGCAGGAAGGCACCCAGTTATCAGAACCAGAACAGGGCTGGGCCTGTGATAGAATAGCTTGTGAGGAGGGCAGGAAGGTAGGACCAGCGAGGAGGTCTGTAGGGCTGGCCCCTACTGGGATGGTCATGTCCAGAGTACCCAGATGGTAAGTGCAGGCCATGACGTCAAATGTAGTTCATTTTGGCATAAGTGGTATTGGCATATACCTTGGTGTTGTGTATTAAAAAGCCTCATGTCTAGGCCTTATGTATAATCTGCCATATTGCCCTGACTCTGCTTTTTTGCCCCTCTCCCAGAACTCATCTCCTGTCCTGGGTGTAAGCGAGTATACCTTACCAGGGATGTAACTGAACATTTTTTTCTGTGTGCTTCTACTGGGCGATCCAAGATGGCCAGGGTAAGTCCAGACAAGTAAAGAAATAGCTGATCCTTTTCAGAGATCTTTGGGGCCCCTGTTCATAAATTCACCTGTTCACCCATCACTTCATTTGACTTGTTACTCCCCCATCAATTTGCCTAATCATCCATCCATCCACCCCTCCATCCACCCCTCCATCCATCCACCCTTCCTTCCTTCCTTCCTTCCTTCCTTCTATCCACAGAGTATCAAAATATTTGAGTTGGGGAAAGTAAAATGGGGGTATTTTTTCTCTCTCTTATAGCTCTTACTGGAAAATATTAGTACTGAGCTTTTATTTCCTTTTTTTCTCCCACTGAGTTGAAACTTAAACACCAGCTTAACTAAATGGGTTCCTCAATTTTGCCCGTATTTAGCAACTAATACCTTCTTCCTGAGTTTCTAAAATTTCACATCACTTACCGACTAGCACCTCCTATTCCTCTCTCCTCTGGGGTACCCTTGCCCCACTGCATTTGATCCACTTGGCCAATCTACTTACTTGATCCTGTATCTAATTCTTATTGAATGTCTGGTACATGCCGGGCCCTGGGCTGGGTGCTAGGGAGATGGACACCCATGTTCTTAACTCTCAAGGAATTCATAGTTTAATTAGTAAAACTTGTATTTCTCTTCTTTTTTCCCCCACTGTGGGTTTGTCAGATGCCAGCACGAGGGCACTGTCAGAATCCACGTCATTTTGACGGCCTGTATTATTCAGGCCCAGATAGGCCAACTTTTTCCAAATCTCCTTTTTTACTCATGTTTTTACATCAGCCCTGCAAGATATTTGCTGACCGAATGAATGAACATCTGGTCTAGGAGAGGACTAGGTTCTCTTGGGCGCAGCAAGCCCCAGCTGTGGAAGCACGGCTCTGAGAGTTGGTCTGTACTTGTTCTTTCTCGGCCATATGTGACCATCTCTCTGTGTACTCCCACAACTGTGGCTGCCCCCTTTTTGCAGGCACATGGAATTTTCTGTTTTGCCTGTGCTCTCCCATCTCACTCTCTCGTCTGCCTGGCAGACTTCTACTTGTCATTCCCTATCCAATCAGAAGTCACCTCCTCATGAAATTAGTTCCTGGCACCTCCAAGGCTGAGCCCCTGGGAAACCCCACTTTGCTTCCTTAGCACTTGCTGTGGCCTTTTATCACAGCATCTCCCACTGACCGTGACCGGCCGCCACCCCATATGCGGGGAGCCCCCCTTTGCCTTACTTACTCAGTGTCCTCATCTGCAGCATGGGACTTGGGGGGCATAGCCCCTGAGGCCCCTCTTGTTTTAGCCACAGAGGATGCTTTGCTTCACAAGCCGCCATGCGGCTCTCCAGAATTCACTGCCCTCCAGGGAACAGCCCTCCAGGCTCCCAGCCCTCCACAGAGGCCGCCCCCCCCACCTTGCCCTGGAGGAGGATCGGGTCAGTAACCGCAGACCTCTGTGCTTGCAGAACTGCTCCGAGTGCAAGGAGAAGAGGGTGGCGCACATCCTGTGCACCTACTGCAACCGCTGGCTGTGCAGCTCGTGCACCGAGGAGCACCGGCACAGCCCTGCCCCCGGGGGCCCGCTCTTTTCCCGGGCCCACAAGGGACCGCCAGGTAGCTCTCCCTGCAGTCCTCGCTGGCTCACACGCCCCGAAGCAGCGCCCCGACTGCAGACTTCTGGAGAGCGGCTCTTTCTCACCTTGTTTCCCTACTGGGGGTGCGGGTAGGGGGTGGCCTCCCAGCCTTTCCCAGAGGACAAGCTCATGCTGGGCTCTCTCTTGCGGAGGGGAGGGAGAGGGGAGGGGGATTGTGAGCAAGATGTGCGGGGAGGAGTAGTCATGAATTATCACGGGAGCTAGCTGAGTTCCCTACTTTCACCTCCATTTAGAGCAGTCATGCCTCACTTCTGTTTAGTGACTTGCCTAATTAAACAGCCCAGATCAGGGCTTATCCATTTGTCTATCCAGTGCCGCTTGTTTTAAATGACAGTCTCCTTGACCGTGTTTGCCCACGGTCTTTGAACTGTGGGAGGGGTTTTACCTTTGTGACACCCACAGGAACCGGAGTTAATGATCCATGTGATCTGGCCTGGAGCCCCCCCCCCCCCCCATTCCACCCCCACCAGCATCCTGGTGAGTGGAGAGGTTTAGGGTGAATTTTAGAGGATTCACCACTCTGCAGGAGATCCGTGCTGCAGCAACAAGCACTTTCCTCAGCCGTGGGCAGGCAGTGGGGCGCCTGGGGCTGGGCGATGTGTGATTTCTGCACAGCTGGGCAAATCCTGCCCGGCTCAGCTCGCATTCTTCCTTGGGCTCCTAAAGCCTCACTGGCCCAGAGAGAGGCCTCTCCTGTCTGCACCACCTTCCCTCCAAACTCTGGGTCTCCCCTGTGTCAGTTGAGGGTGAGGGCTGCTCAGTGGAGCTTACCTGAGAGTCTTCCCCAGCAAGAGAAGCCCACTTTGTCTATCTTCTCTGGTAGGAGTGAGTGGTGGTTCCGGAGACTTCGCCTTGTACTGTCCTCTACACACACAGGAAGTGCTCAAGCTATTCTGCGAGACCTGTGATGTGCTTACGTGCCATAGCTGCCTCATGGTGGATCACAAGGAACACAGGTGTGGCTGCCTGGCTGCCCAAAGGGGGCTCAGGAGGTCTCTGGGCTCTGCTTTGCTAGCCCTGGGCTCCCAGTGTGTCATGTCAAAATGTTCTCCCTGCTTATGCCAGTCTGGGGCCCTGAGGCCGAAGTTTTTCCTCTGCTTCCGCTGTGGGCCTTCTCTGGAGAAGGCTTGAAGGGCCAAGACTCAGCACTTTCCCTAGATGTAATCCTAGCTTCTGTGGGCCTGGCTGAGACAATGCACAGTGGAGGTTCTTGCTTGGCTGGGATGCTCAGAAGACTCGGTCCTCTTCAGCTTTTTCTCTGTCTCCTTCTTTAGGTGCAGACATCTTGAAGAAGTTTTGCAAAACCAGAGGATGCTTCTAGAAAGTGTGACTACACAGGTGGCTCATAAGAAATCTAGTCTACAGACATCTGCAAAACAAATTGAGGACAGGTAACACAGCCTTGCCAATGCTGGAAATGCTATGTTTCCTGACCTCCTGGATCCTGATACCAGGCTATCAGATGTAGTACTTATGAAGAATGCAGGAGGTTAAGCAGATATGGGCATATGTCCCAGAAGGCATATGTCTTGGAACTTAGAGGTCTTGTGGCCACTGAAAGGGCTTTGGGTCATCACTTGGTAGATGGAACCAAGCTCAGTCAGGATGATCAGTGTGAGTTTGGGCCTAAGCACATGCCTTCTGAATGTGGCCATGACATAGCCAGAGGTAGGTCCTCGAGAACGAGGGCATAAAGCAGATTCTGGGTTTATCACGAGGATGCAGTAAGTCAGTGGCAATCTGCCCTTTATCCACCCTTTCCCAGTGTGTTCTGTATAAATCTACAAGTGATATGGAACCATTGATATTTAATGTGGGAAAAGGAATTAGTAGGTACTAAGAGCTCATCATATGGTGGGCACTGGGTAGGGCATCTACATGCATGATTTTGTACAATTCTTGTAATTCTTTGAGTTGGATTATCTCCATTGTACGGGTGAGGAGACTGAGGTTCAGAGAGGGCAGGTGATTTGTCTGAGATCACACAGCTAGTCAGTGACTGAACTGGATTTGGAAGCCAGATCTGTGTGACTTCAAAGCCCATGTTCTTTTTTTAAAAAAACTTCACTGATATAAGTTATATAACATAACATTGCCCTTGTAAAATGTACAATTCAGTGGTTTTCAGTATATTCATGGAGTTGTGTAAATCAGTATTACTGTTTACTTTTAGAACACTTTATCACTCCCAAAAGACAACTGATACACCTTAGTAGTCCATTCCCCATTCCCCACAATATCCCCAGCCCTTGGCAACCATTAGTCTACTTTCTGTCTCTGCGCATGCTATTTTTACTGCATGGCATTGTTTAATGGATATCCACCTTTTTAACACAACAGATGACATGACTCACTCTCTCTGTGCCATCTCCAATGTTGTGTAACCAATGAGCTGCTGGGTTGACCTGGGTGTGGACCTGAGCTTTACCTAGAGAAAACCTGGTTGAGTTTCAGGCCGTTGGCCCACTTAGATCGAGTAGGCTGGGTTGTACCAAGGTTAGGGTGGTGGAGGAAGGTTCTCATTTCTTTATATTTGGTGCCTGCTGGGCCCTGATCTTCATAGGCAGCCTCTAAGTTGTTGGCTGTTATGTTTTCTGTCTCTAGGCTCTCATAGGCCTGGAGGGAGGAGCTCACCATGCTCTGTCCTGTTCTGTTTATAGGATTTTTGAGGTGAAACATCAACAAAGGAAGGTGGAAAACCAAATCAAAATGGCCAAGATGGTTCTGATGAATGAGCTGAACAAACAGGCCAACGGGCTCATAGAGGAGTTGGAGGTATATGAGGACAGATGGGTCATATGGATGGGCTGGTGTTCTCCCTAGGTCAAAAACCAGGCACATATCAAACTAGTCCCAGGGCTCAGAGATGCCTGAGCTGGATTCGGATGTGCAGTTTGCATAGCTCTCTACTGTTCCCTATATCTTAAAATGTCCAGTCTCATTTGGGAAGCATGGCTTGTTAAGGGCCAGAAAGTCAGTTCAAACTCCCATCAGTGCTATGGCTTTAAGGCAACTCCTTCCTGGACTGTGCAGGCTTCTAGCCTCAGAAGAGAGGGCCGTGAAACAAGTTATGCCCGAGAGATGTGGACGTTTGTTCATGTCCTCATTCATTTATCACCCATTCCCTATTGGCACTATAAAATCCACCCACCGTGCTCCCTTCCTTCCTGTGTCCCTCTGCCGCCCATGGCAGCAGTCTGTCCCACTGTCATCCTTTCTGGGGCGCAGTCTCGTCTGACCCCATCAGGGTTCACACTGAGACACGGGGCCACCAGACTCCCCAAACAGGTAGACTGAAGTCCAAGAACAGGATGAGGGACTCTGTCTTCTCTGTCCACACCCAGGGCATTACTAACGAGAGAAAGCGGAAGCTGGAACAGCAGTTACAGAGCATCATGGTTCTCAACCGTCAGTTTGAACATGTGCAGAACTTCATCAATTGGGCTGTCTGCAGCAAAACCAGTGTCCCTTTCCTGTTCAGCAAAGAGCTGGTAAGAGCTCCAACTCATCAATCACTGCTTTTGGGTTAGTAAGTGAAACGTATCTTTTACCAAACTCCACAGTGCCAAGGACAGGTACTGAAATGGTCTTGCTTTCCTTCAAGCAAGTCAGGTTGGAGATTTTGTAGTTCTGTGTTAGGTCATGGATTTGGGCATGAGCCTGGACACTAGCAGTGTTCTGGACATCCCATGGATAGTTGTTTGTGTTTAAATGGGGGCTAAGAGGGAAGGAGGCATTGAGGATGATGTTGAGGTATTAAGATGTGAGGGTGGTGAAGACCAGGAGAAGGAGCGAGAATTTTGAAAGAAATTGGTGGGGTTTATATTGGGATATGTTGAATCTAAGGTGCCTGCAGGACATCTCAAAGGAGATGTCCAAAATCTGTTTCGACTGATGGGTCTGGAAGTCAAAAGGAAAGTCAGGGTTGGGGATAGCATTGTGGGAGTCACTGGGGTATTGGTGGTGTCACTTCGGAAGAGTGTGTGAAGGAAGAAGACAAGACATCTGGAACCGAGGGAAATACTAGCATTCTCAACATAGACAGAGGAAGAAGAAGAATGAAGGAGGGTGAGAAGCAATAGTCCAAGATGGATCGCAGGAAAAGTAGGAGGGGGTGGTGCACAGAAATTAACAGAATTTCAAATTTCAAGCTGTCAATGTTATCGTTGCTACCTAGGTAAAAAAGGATGAGTAGTGAAGAGAAGCTTTGAGATCTGGGAATCAGGAGGTCCCAGGTGATCTTTTGAAAGAAATCCCAGCAAGACAGGAGGGTGAAAAGCTAGAATGGGGGGACTGAGGGGAGGGGAGGAAGTAGAAACAGAAGTGAAAAGAAAGGAAATAAGGTAGCTTGAGAAACAGACAGAGTTGGGGGATTGATTTTAAGTATGGAAGACATTTGCACAAGTGTATTTGGGAGAAGAGGTTGATGATAGAGAAAAGAGAGATGTGGTAGAGTGAGCATACTGAGAAGGCAGAGGGAACCAGTTGAGCCTAAACATAAAAGGCAAGACTTCCTCTGAGGAGGGAGGACAGGAAGGTCTCCATATAATGTTTGGAGGTAGGCAGGGTGCCAGTTTGGGACAGTTTGTTTTTTGTGTCTCTTACCCTTTTTGAAGTAGGAGGTGATAAGAGAGTTAGGCACTGGATAAGTGGAACTGAGGAGAGAAGTGAGGACTTTAATCACTGAGGATAGTGGAAGAGGAAGCCAACAAGAAAAGAAATGATAAGAAAAAAGACAGCAGGGTGCCCCCGAGGTTAGTGGTCACTGAAGCGACCCCAGATAACATGGCTTTGGGATGGCTGGATTGACCTAAGGTTAATGGACAGTCGTGATGCGGAGGGAATTAGGCCCTAGTGATACTGTTACTGGAAATGATGGGAAGCTGGGCTGGCCCTAGGGACTGATGGAGCGGGACTTGGGGAGTTCAGTGAGGCTGGAGAGCATGCTCAGAAAGAGTGAGAGCTAGTTAGAGCAGGGGTCAGTCATTGCAGATGAAGGTCTCTAGATGGAGAAGAGGTCTGGGTATGCTACTCGAACTGAACAGAGAGGTGAAGGTGATTGGCACTAAAGAGATGGAGGAAGAAGAGGCCAAGACGGTGACTGGGACATTGGTTAACTAGATGCTGGCAGGGTGAGTTGGACACTTGCCCAAGTCCTGGATACATGGGAGAGTTGATAGGAGATGGATGCAAGGGATGAGGGAAGAGGAGGGCAGTTGATGAGGATGGGAGTTTTACATGTGGGTGAAAGGACAGCAGTGGGGAGCTCAGAGCAGGCTTTTACATTGAGGTTATGGTAGAATGAATGGAACTCTTGAGAGGGCCACCAGGCAGGTGATCCTGAGGGAGAATTACCAACCATTCAAGGCCTGAAACAGATAAGAGTATAGGGAATCCAGAAACCTGGATAAGAGGAAGGGGATCAGCTGGTGGGGGGAGGGGACAAGAGCAGGGGAAGGGATGTGAAGGTACCAAGGTACAAGGAAATGAGCATATGGGAGACCTGAGGCTAAAGACCCCTGGCTCCAAGCCCTTCAACCTGTCCGAAGAATGAGAGAGAGGGAGTTGTCATTCAGATGCACGACGTCCACAGAAATGACCTTTGGGCTGTTGTCAGATTGTGTTTCAGATGCAGCGATTGCTAGAGACAAACTGTAACACAGATCCGGGCTCCCCCTGGAGTATCAGATTCACCTGGGAGCCTAACTTCTGGACCAAGCAGCTGGCTTCCCTTGGTGAGCCAGAGCCCACCCTGTGGGCTTTTACATATTACTAAAAATGAGTGGAGCACATCTGCTTAGCTTACTGGGTAGGTCAGCGTAGGCCCAAGAGAAAGCACTCCCTGAGACTGCCAGTGGTCATGGAGTCACTCACAGACCTCTGTGTGTGTGTTTGGGGGTGGGGGGGTTGGGGAGAGGGGACAACTTCAATAGCAGTGGCAACCCAGGACTCTTGTAACAGGACCAGTTGAAATCTGAGCTTTCCATTCTGCATGAATGCCCTGTTACCTTGGTTTCATTGCTGGAGAGGAGACAAGACAGTGGCCCTGTTCTCCAGAATGCTGGATGGCAGTGCAGGTGAATGTGTGTCTCTGTGGTCCTACAGGGGTATTCGTGTGTGTAGGCACAAAATGGGTATCAGCATTAAAGAGAGGGAGGGAGGGAGGGAAAGGGGCCATGTCACACACCCCCCCCCTTGGAGTTGAGATATAAGCAGATAATTTCTGAGCTTCCCTGCTGCAGTGATTTCCTGGTGTTCAGTCTTAGGCAGAGTGTAGACAACTTGAGGTTGTACCTGTGTTGCTGGCCTGATGTAGGTTTGTTATGCTAATGGCTACTGGCTGCCTTCATCTGGGTGCTTAATGTCCAGGAAAGTTCCTTGAACTTGACAGAGTGCAGCATAATATTTAGGTTTATATTTTGCTTCTCTTTCCCCTTTGATTTAATTCAACAGACCTTTGGTGGGCCCCCGCTGTGGGCCCGCACCCCATGCTGGGCACTAAGGGACCAAAGGTGAATAGAACACACCTCTGGCCCTCAAGTTGCTGAGTCTTGCCCCAAGTAAGCCTCATCAAAACAATGAGCTGAAGAAGCCACAAGACTGAGCTGGAGACTCATGTGCAAGGCCCGGGAGACCTCAGGATGAAGCTAGCACTTGTCACTGACATGATGTTGGGGCTCCCCGACTACTTCCGTCCTCCTTGCCCAAAACACAACCCCCCAGACCTATATTTGGAGACTTGGTCATTTGTCCCAGGGTGGGCTCTCTCCTTTGCAGTTTCCCAGCATGCTATCTCCCCAGCCCCAACGTCTATTTTGTTTGTTTGAGTCTGTGTTCAAAAGGAGTGGGTGCTGTTTGAAGGAGCCCATGGTTTCTCTAGTGGGATACAAACAGAGTGAGGACTGAGCATCTGGAAAAAGCTGAGCTAATTTCTCAAATGCCCTGGCCCCCACAGGTCCACACTCATTCTATTGCTGGCAGCATTCTAGGCCGAGTCTTGGAGATCAGGGTTGAATTTGCTAATCTCTGCACCTGGTACAGGTTTATTGGATGATGTCCTTTGGTCCCAGGAGCAGGAAGCGGCAAGTGGGCAACAAGTGCAGATTACCTTTGGAAACACTCTCTGTTCTGAATTTCCAGGCTGTATAACTACTGAAGGTGGACAGCTGTCCCAGGCAGCTACTCCTGCTTATGGAAGCTTACAGGGACCGTCATCTTTTTATCAAAGCCACCAGTCCCCAGTGGCTCCGCAAGAGACTCTTAGCCACCCCTCGCACAAGTTCCAGTCTCCAGCACTGTGTTCCTCCTCTGCGTGCTGCTCCCACTGCTCCCCAGCCTCGCCCTCCCTCAAAGGCCAGGTCCCCCCACCCAGCATACACCCAGCCCACGGCTTCAGGCAGCCCTCTGAGATGGCACTGCAGCAACTGGGGTCTCTGCAGTGCTCTCCCCTGCTGCCCAGGGAGAAGGAGCTGGCTTGCAATCCTCAGCCCCCAAAGCTGATGCAGCCCTGGCTGGAAAGCCAGCCGTCCGGGGAGCACGAGAACCCAGCCCAGCGGCTCGGGCCGCAGCTGACTTCCCAGCCCGTATGCATCGTGCCCCCGCAGGATGTTCAGCAAGGGCCCCATGCCCAGCCCCCCTTGCAGACCCCCTCTATCCAAGTGCAGTTCGGCCACCACCAGAAGCTGAAGCTCAGCCACTTCCAGCAGCCGCCGCTGCAGCAGCTGCCCCCCCTGCCCCCTCCGCCACCTCCACCCCAGCAGCCGCCGCCACCTCTACCTCCGCCCCAGCAGCCGGCTTCGAGTCAGCGTGGCAGCCCTCCTGGGCCTGCCTGTTCCCAGAACGTGGATATAATGCACCACAAATTTGAGCTGGAGGAGATGCAGAAGGACCTGGAGCTTCTCCTTCAGGCTCAACAGCCCAGCCTACAACTGAACCAGACCAAATCCCCTCAGCATCTTCAGCAAACCATTGTGGGGCAGATCAACTACATTGTGAGGCAGCCAGCGCCCGTCCAGTCCCAGAGCCAAGAGGATGCTGTGCAGGTGAGCCTCAGGGTGGCTTGGGGCCAGGGAACATGTCTCGGCAAAAACAGCCTCCCCGATCACGGGGTGGCACGGGAACACGGTTTCTTCATCTGAGGGTGGCCTTGAACTCAGCACTCACATTTCAAGTCCTCCCTGGACTCTACTGCCCATCTCAGGAAAGTTCCCGAAAACACAGTAGTCCCGGCAGAGATCTGGGCTCAGTACTCTCCAGAGTAGCCTGGCTTAGCCCTGCCCTCCCAGATGACACTAGGGACCTTGTCCATCCATAGAACCTTCTGAGCTGTGCCAGACTCCTGCCACTGCTGGGACAGAAGGGAGGCTGTCTCATCTTTGTAACCTCCCACTTCCCTTGTGGGGAACGTATGACTCTCAGATGGAAGGGGAGAGCTGAGGGAGTGGAGAGAGGGTATGCATCAGATACTAGTGGGCCGCATCTTTGTAACACCACACAGCTATAGACTTAAAATTTGTTTCAAACCTCCGAAGCTAGGTATGTTTTGTATATACTGTATTATTTATCCGACCAACAGTGTTAGGTAGGCATTGCCATCTGTTTTTTATAGGCACAGAAGTGAGGGTTGGAGAGGGCAAGCACTTTGCCTAGAGATCATAGAACATTGAGTGACAGAGCCAAGACTTGGATCCCGGTCTGCTGACTGTAGTGGGAGAGGCCTCGTTCTCTCCCTAGGCGGGTGATGAATACTGCTCCTCTCTTCTCTCCGCTAAGAGCCAATTGAGGAGGTGCAGATTGTACCTCTGGGATCTTTGCTGCATTCCACATCTTCATCCGTAACCCGTGCTTTTCTTTTCTTCCAGAGTTTCCCATTCTAGCCCCTTCTCCCTATCCTTTCTCACTTTTCCCCCCGTGGTGTCTCCTTTAAATCTGTAATCACATTTATATCTTCAAAGCAGCTCTATGGACTTTTACTTTATTATAAAATATGAGGCCTCCCATTTATGCTTTAGCACTGACAATGTCAGATCCTGCTTCAAATGTCTCCCTCTGAGGCTCAGTTCCTTTGAGGAGATAGGAAATCATCCTGAGGATGGCAGAGAAAGGTCCAGGGTTCATTGAGGACCACAGGCGAAATGTAAGTCAAACGTGTTAGGATTGCTTTGGTGAATATGACAGAGTTAGCCCAGAATTCTCGGTCTGGGTTCTGTCCTAAGACTGTCATATTAAGAGGTAGTCTCACGAAGAGTTTAGAAGAGAGGGTCTTTCTGAAAAATTTTCCAGCAGTTCACAATGCGTAGTTGGTGACAATAGGCAATGCAGGGTGGGCATCAGCCTTTGCCGCTGTTGTTGCTCTTTGCGGGAAAACCCACCCAAGTTCTTATTTGCTCCTTCAGGCTTCAGAGGAGGCCCCGGCATCGGAAGGCCCAAAGCCAGCTCTCCCTCTTGACAAGAATACGGCTGCTAGCTCGCCCCAGGCGCCTGGGGAGGAAACCGCTCCCGGTGCACCCGCACTGGATGGCACCATCCGGCACCCCTCTCCAAATGTGGTGAGAAAGGTACTAATGGAGCCTGCTTTTCCTGACCGCAAGGGACCCACTGCCAGCCAAGACCCCAGGGGCCTGGATGAGGATGACTGGGTGGGGGAAGGAGTGTCCCCGTTCCATCCCTGGATATTACACAGCCCCGACTCAGGCCTTCTGGCCTAATAAGTCAGCAGCGTAGGTCCTCCTTCACGCCCATTTCCACTCCCGCACGCACACTTCAAACGGGACCAACTGGGCTTCGTTTAGAATGGAAGGGGGAAGGAAAAGGGAAAGAAAGCCAATTTATGACACACTTACACTGTGCCTGGAATGGTGCCTGGGGCTTCACGGTTCTGTGAGGGGGCCGTCCCCATTTTCTAGCTGAGGAAACTGAGGTCTGGGGCCCTATAGCTAGTACATGAGAGGGCTGACATTTATTTAAAACAAGGTTTGTCAGAATCCAAAGACTGAACTGTTTTTTCTCTGCAACAAAAATGAGGAAAATATTTTATGTGGCTGCATGACCCAAAGTTGATTGGCTTCAGAATTTGCATCAGTGGAGTTTGGCGGGTGAGTGGTCTGCAGGGGTGTCCTCCGGGGGTAGCTGAGCAGCTAGGGCTGCTGAGAGCTCTTGAAGATAAGCTGCTGGAGCCCTTCCTGTCCACCAATTTACCTGCTTGCTACAGGTGTTCGTTTACTCTGGCCATCAGCCAGAATCCCACAACTCGTCGGCTGTCCTCCCCTTATCCCTGCCCTTCACCCTCCCCCCTGTCATCCTCCTAGCTGGAACCTCACTTGGCCCTCCCTGTCTTTCTTGGCCCTGTTCCACTATCCTGTTGCCTTCTCTGGTCTGGTACCCTCGGGCCTCCTGGCGCCTCCTCTTAGCCATGCACTTGAAGCTGTGTCATGTGTTGGGTACCCCTCAGCCTGCACACTCAGCCCTGAATAAGGCTCTGGCTCTGCAGCCCCAGTTCCACAGCTGTTCTGTGTACCTGCCCCTCACCGTGTTTCCCCCAGCACCATCGCCACGTATATCTTAGTCTATCCCTGTGATACATGAGAAGAGACTTCAGAAAAGTAAGGGATGGCAAAGATGAAATTGTAACTTGGAAATCCCTGGTGGCTCTTGAAATCTGGCTAGGCCTCTGGTATTGGTGGGTTTTGGTCTGTGCTGGGCCTGTCCTGCCCTGTCGGAAACGGTTTGGCCTAGAGGCCATAGAGATGCTATAAATGGGCCCTTTGTGGCTCTCATGAGTTTAACTTTTTATACTTGGGCTACTTACCTACCCATCCATCCAGTTATTTATTCACTCAATATTCAAAAAATATAGATTTGTCTCCTAGTGTGTGCCAGATGTTTTCCTAGTTGTCAGGCACATATCAGTGAATAAGAGTCTCACATTGGAGGTTACAAACTAGTAGAGAGACAGTTAAATAAGCAACAACAATAAATGTGATAAAGTGCTGGGATAGTCACTGGGGTGTAGAGAAGGAGCACATAACACTGGAAAAACTGTTCACAGAGGACTTCCTAGGGGACATGCATGATTATAAGCTGAGGTATGAAGAAGTTAGGCTACTGAAGGGGGATGAGGGAGAGGGTTAGACTAAATAATCAAAGGGAATGGCTAGTAGGAAGGCCCAGAAGTGAGAGAAAGCCTGGGGCACTTAGGGGGGTTTCAGATAACTTGGCCTGGTGGGAACATGAGGTGGACTGGGGAATGGGAATGGAACCAGAGTACTTGGAAGGCCTTGTAAATTATGCTCTAGAGTTTAGCATTCAGTCTTGGGGGTTGTGAGGAGTGAAGGGAGGAATTCTTAGCAAGGAGGGATATAGTTTGAATTAAATTTTAGAAAGGTCACTTTAGCTGTAGGAAGGGAGACCAAAATAGTACAGAGGGGAACGAGGAAAGGTTGAATGGAACCTGTAACAATGGGTATAAGGAGGAAGCGTAGACTTCAAGAGATCAGATCACAGAAGCTTTTGGACTTGGAGTCTGATTGGTGATAGGAAGTGAGGGAGAGAAAGTCCTTTGGCTTGACACCCAGGTCTGTCTTGCCCACTGGGTTGCCATTCACTGAGATGGGAGCATGGGAAGAAGGGCCTATTTGGGGGGAGGAAAAAGTTAAATTTGAATTGTTGGTGTTCTCCTGTGGAAGCTACATAAGAAGATGCCCAGAAGGTAGCTAGCTCTGGATGTCAGTAGTTCAGAAGGAAACACGGGGATTGCCAGTGCTCAAGGGGTAGTAGAAGCCATGCAGAAAATGCCGCTGCTTCTTTAATGGGGCTTGCTTCTGTTCCTATACACAGTACAGAGGAAAGGAGGTGAGCCATGTGCAAACGTGGAGTCTGTGCTGCCCGTGCGTTGGCCCACAGGGCTCTCTGAGCATCAGGGGATGCCACCCGACTGTGTGGCTATCGGTTGGCGGTGGGGTTAGTGAAGGTCCTAGGAGCTCTTAACTGTTCTTTTTGAGCTGCCCCTGCCCCTTATTAACCTGGGTTCAGGGAGAGGTTCAGAGGGACAGGTGGCCTGGCCCCTTCCTGATGTTTTATAGGCCTCTTCATGGTTTGGACTCCCCAGAAAAGGAACCTCAGTGTTGCCATCCTGGCCCAGAGGAGCCTTTGGGTCTACTTGGCTGAGAGAGGTACTGGTTAGACCCAAAGCTACTAAAATAAGAAAAAGGGCTTTCTTTTTGAGGGAATTCATTGCCTTGAAGCTGGGATTGGGTATGGCGGAGGGCGTGACGATTGAGGACACCGAACAACATTTTGAGCATCTTATCATTGAATGTGATAATACTTTGCATAGCATTTTTCTACCTGTTCCCTTAGATTTTTACATGGATTATTCCATTTTATCTCTTTGTTTATCCTAGAAGTACTATGAGGAAGCCACTTTCATATTCCCCTTTGAAAGATGTGGAAACTGAGACACAGAGAGGTTAAGTGACCCACCTAGGAGCTATACAGCAGAACATTGGCACAGTTAGGACCAGAGCATGGGTTCCTGACTGTGGCAGTGCCCCAGGGGCTAGGCTAGATTGCCTCTCCTTGGGCACTGCAGTGGGAGAACCAGGACTCCATCTGGCCTCCGACTTGCTGGATTTTCTTCTTTACACTCGTTGGAGTAGCCCGAGGCCCTGCCAGGGAGAGGGCTTAGGACCCAGCCTCATCTGGTTATCTCTGTCTGGTCGAAGTGTTTTAGCCTCCAGCCTACTCCTGAGCCTGTTCTGACCTGCGAGGACCGGGGAAGTCAGAGGTCTGTGTGAAGGCCACGGACCGGAGGAAGCTGCGGCACCAGGCTCCTCTGTGGGTGTTCCGCAGGGACTCATTCACGCTCTGAGCTGCCGACTGATGTTCCATCTCCATGAGGAGGACTTCAGTTACAGCACAGCCGCTGTGCACACGTACTTTCGAGTTGGTGCTAACTGAGCTGCTGGTGAAAAGTGAGATAGGGAAGTTTTCGAATGGGTTTTCTGGTGCCTTGAGCTCTGCAGTCTCAGAAGCAGCTTCCCCCACTACCTTCCCTGCGTTCAGCAGGGTGTTCTGGAATGAATTTTGACATCTGTCTGGCCCTCGTGGTTGCCTCATCTTGGTTTAGCCACCCTGAAGAGAGACCACAGTTACAGCGTGACCATAGAAGGTCTTATATCCCCGTGGAAACCGGAAGACATTTTGACGACTTCATCTGTATTTCTGAACAAGTCGACTGCTGAAAAACACACACGCTCTCCTCCTCAAAGCTTTCGTGGAGTCAAGGCTGTAGGCATCACAGAGAGCTGTCCGAGCCCTATTTCAGCTGCGAGGGGGACCTCTCTTCTGCTCACATGTGGTCCACATCCCCCACAGGGGACTGAGAGACCACCAGAATACTGCTTATGGCTTCAGAGGAGTCTGAGATGTATTTTTAGCAAATAGTGCCTAAGCAGTAGGCATTCCTGTGGTCCATGTTAGTAAGAGTGATGCAGAAGAGGATGGGATAATGACTCACACGAAGAGCATTCACATCATTACCAAAGCACTCTGATGCCTGAGCTCGTAATCTGATTCTTATAACTCAGAGGTACATTAACCTGTGGAGGAGGAAATTGAAGCCCAGAGATGGGAAGTATCTTGTTTAAACTCATGCTCTAAATCCCGGCTTACGTAAGGAAATACAGGGTGTCCTGCCTTCACAGTCTCCAGATCCACATCTGTGGGCCAAATCATGGCTTCTCAACTCCAGCAATGATCATTCCCTCAAAGCCTGGCCTCAACAGCAGAGCTTGCTCAGAACCCTCCCAGGCCTCGGGAGGCTTTCTTAGGGCACAGCCTGGGTTCTGGTCAGCAGTTGCAGAACTGTATAGAGATCTGCTCTGTCCTGTTCAGAGGCCAGCCAAGTATTCCCCAGGTCTGGCTCCCTGAATTTTACAGCCTCTAGGAACTAGGCTCTTTCCTCAGTTCTAGCCTCATTTCACTCACTCATTTCATTCACTCATTTCACCAAATCCAAGATCTTTGTCAAGGTCTCCTGGTCCATGAGAAAACAGGGCCCTAAATTTCCTTACACTGGCCTGGCCAAAAATATCTCTGGTCTCATTCTCCTAGGTCTCCAAGGCTTGGGTTTTGAGGGTTCCACTCATTCTTTTCTCTTCCTTCCCCCTCAGACTCTGGGATCCTCTTTGCTTTTTCTGTCTTCCCTGAATCATCAGGGTGCTGGGCACCCTTCAGTTTTTCTCTCTTCACCACCCATGAATATTTTCCCATTTGACTCTGGTCAGTTAGCATATATTACCATAGTTGCATCCACAGGAATAGCCTTAATTTGTACAAGAGCTTTTCATTCAGCTGGGGGGAGTGCTCACTGTCATTAAGAACAACTTTGCTATTAAAAATCAACTCGTGAAACCACCTGCTAGGAAAGTTAGTTCTTTCCTCAGGTATCTGATTCAGTTGTTTGAAGATCTACTAATGTTCAGCCAGTCTACCTGATCTGAAGCTGTCGAAACACTCAAATATTCCAAGATTTAATTCACAAATCTGTTTACCTCAA